ACACGCCAGGGACCAGTTTTATCCTAATGCTAAAGTCAACCTGGCTTAAGCGTCAGGCAAAAAACGGCAGATGACAGCTGATCAGAGCAAATCCAAGGAGTGCAAAATGCACTGGACCCCTCCAAACAAACTGTGGGCCAGACAACAGCCCCTCCCCAAATTATCCCCACGCTGTGACCTTCCTGCATTCTCCTGCTTACTGTCGTATTCTGGGTTTCCTACCCACACCAGGTCAGCCCGCACAGATCTGTGCTTCTGAGGACGTGTGTCTTACATTACAGAGGATATAAAGTGCCCACTATGTACCTGACAGGATAAGAACCGATAAATTTTAATTTGTTAGTAGTTTTTAAAAAAAAAATGAAGCCGGGCGGTGGTGGTGCATGCCTTTAATCCCAACACAGGAGGAGACAGGAGGATCTCTGTGAGTTCAAGGCCAGCCTGGTCTACAGAGGGAGTTCCACGGCAGCCAAGGCTACACAAGAGAAACCCTGTCTCAATGTAAATAAATAAATAAAATGAAAAAAGACAGCCAGGCACAATGGCCCATGCCTGTATAACCAGCCACATAAGGGACTGAGGAAGGATATTGTTTGAGACCTTGAAGGAGTCTGAGGCCAGCCTGGAAAGCAGAGCAAGATCCTCTTTAAAAAACCAAAAACAGACACAAAAGTCCAGGCTGGGGATACGGATCAGTGTAGGATGTTTGCCTCGTGTGCACAGGGCCGGACCCAGCACCGAAGACTATAAACACAGTGATCTGTGGGCCTCAGGTGACCTTGGTTTTCTTTTGGGTTCTTTGACCCCCCCTCCCACAATCTTCATTTTACAAGCTAACCTTTTGTTTGTTTGGTTGGTTGGTTTGATTTGGTTTTTCCAGACAGGGTTTCTCTCTGTAGACCAGGCTGGCCTGGAACTCTCTCTGTAGACCAGGCTGGCCTGGAACTCAGAGATCCACCTACCTCTGCCTCCTGAGCACTGAGATTAAAGGCCTGCGCCACAGTACCACCACCTGGCTACAGGTTAACCTTTTAGAAGCTCAAACACAAAGCAATCTCCAGAAAGCAGAGAAGTCACCTCAGCCACTAGCCTGGCCCTTTCAGTCCTATACTCTGTGGCCCCTCAAAGCACGGGGCACATGATCAGCCAGTGCTCTGCATCAGACTCTGTTGAGGGCAGATTTCCAATGCAGAGACCAAACACTTCCTCTCCTCCCTACCCCACCTAGAGAGGATGATGGTTCATGATAAGAACTCTGAAAACATGCCACCCATAAGCCTTATTTTGAATTCGAGTAATGAACTAGAAATGATTTTCTTTCAGAACCAACTCTGCATCACACATGAACGTGGTGAGAACGGCCTTGACGTTGGACTGAATCGATCCTCTCCCTGTCTCCTGAGGCCGATCAGAAACCTGAGGGGGACAGGGGCTCCCTGTTTTGGAGACTGCAGATGCTCCCACGCTCACGGGTCCACCGGAATCCTTTCCTCACCATGCTGGGGAACAGAGCCTCCCAAGAACTCACAGGCCAGGGAAGCCCCAAGAAGGTCCCTACCAAGGAGGCTGAGCAGAGAAGCTCTGCTCTTTAGAGGGTGGGATGAGAACCAGCATCTTTCTCCACCCATGGCCCATTGCTTTCAGGTGCCATGCCAACCGGCAACAGCTAGTCCCAGCCATTTAACCAAGATCGAATTTCTCATACTGCCTCAGTGACCCGCCAAAGAACCAGGAAGTGGATAGAGGTCACGCCCCTTGGTGAGAGGGTCTTAGTTTAAAAAAATAAAAAGGCTCTGTAAGTGCTCTGGGAATGGCGGGGGAAGCAGAAGCTCTGCAGGACAGGCAGGCTGGCGACAGGGCACTGTGAACAGGGAGTATCTTCCTGAGTGGGACACCAAGGAAAAAGTACTCAAGCAAAGCCTAGCATTGTGAGTTCTAGTCCCCCCACCCTCTAGAATCCAGTAAGCACACACACATGAACTTTAGTTAGAATGGCATGTCAGATACTAAAGTCACAGAGGCAACACAGACATGTGTCACTCAATAATGGGGACACGTTCTGACAAATGTATCATCAGGTGATTTCATCATTGCAGGTTTGTAAGTACAGCATGTACTTATACAATCCTTACACACATACACAGTGGCATGGCTTCCTTCACCTGGGCTCCAAAGTGTGTCTATGTACATAACACATACGCATGGTAATAGTATAGTCTGTTGTATCTAGGGCCATGTTGAACAAAATAGCACAAAATTAAGGACTCCATCGCTAAGGACTTGCTGCACAAGAAAAAGCCTGAGTTCAGATCCCAACACCCACAAGAAAAAACCAGGTGTGGGAGTTCAAATCCCAAGGCTGGGGAGGCAGAGGCAGGAAGATCCCCGCTTGCTGGCCAGCCAATCTAACTCAGTTAGTGAGCTCCAGGTGGACGGTGGCTCTGGAAGAAACCCAGTGTCAATCTCTGTCCTCCACACACATCTGCCCACATGTGCATGGGCACCTGCACAAATGTGGGCGCACACACAAAACCTTAAACCCAATATGAAATGATACTTAATCAAGAGACAGGGCAAATTAGAGACAGATGAGGTCCTGCCAGCCCACCAGGACACTTTAGGGGAAACTTCAAAAAGCTGGATTATGCTCTGAAGTAATAGAGCGCATCACAGTAGGTACACGGCAGTGACAGTCCCTTGATGGCCTCCTCAAGCATCGGGCGCTGTAAGTCACCCTACATGCCACATTTCTATATGTATGAAGCACAGGTTTGCTATGTCAGCGTCATAAGTATGTGGGGAATGTGTTGCATGCAAGGTATGGCACTGGGCTAAACAGCAGTGCCTCAGCTCACGGAGTCTCATGGAGCCGTCTTTGTCTATGCAGTCCATCACCGACCCTGACAAACTGTCCAGTGTACCAGCTGCCATATGACCCTCCTAGTCTCCTTTTCCCTTCTCCTGCCTTGAAGCCATCTCCCAGCTTTGGGAACTGGGGTCACTCTTCAAAGGGGTTTATATGCTTTGGAGAACCAGGAGGCAACAAAATGCTGAGTGATCAGAGCTCCCTTAGTTGGAACTAACTGCCTGGGAACAGCAGAGTTTTACCCAGCAAGCAGAAATGACAAGGGAGACTCCTCGTCTCTGGAAAGAAAAGCTCTGCATTTGAATTTAAATAAAAATGAACCATATAAAGCCAGAACAGGACACTTGGGAAGGGTCATAGAGACAGATGAGGTTCCGCCAGCATAGCAGGACACTTTACAGGAAACTTTTTAAAAAGTTCAAGTATGCTTCAAAGTAACAACAGAGAGCATTACAGGGTAGATACACAAGAAGGTGACTGAAAGTCTCTAATAGAGAAAAACAAGCATGGAGAACTCAGGGGAGGCCCTCAGAAACAGCCGATCGTTAGGTGAGCGGGGTGGGGAGCGGACAGTGCTCAGGACAGCAGGAGAGCCCAGAAGCTGGGGACCACTTCCTAATGTCACCAGGTGAATGCATCAGAAGAGAGAGGACATGAGGACAGCGGAAAGGATGGGCTGGCCTGGTAGCCCTCAAACATGGGCAAACCCCTCAGCCAAGGGGCAGCAAATCCATTCAGCTGGAATGCGGAATGACCTCTGCCTGACTCTCCCACCGGGGAACTTTGCTCTCCTTGGGGTTCCTCAGCCCTCTGACAGGAAGTGCAGCTCACAGAGATCTCCCTGGGTCTGACTGGCCTCCCAGCTGCCACTGCTCCAAGCCTCTAGAGCACTCTGAAGGGCTGAGTTGGGCCTCAGTCTTAGTTTCTTTCCTTCTGCTTGTTTTGTTTGTTTTTCTTTTCTTGAGACAGGGTTTCTCTGTGTAGCCCTAGCTGTCCTGGAACTCACTCTGTAGACCAGGCTGGCCTCGAACTCAGATCTGCCTGCCTCTGCTGGGATTAAAGGTCTGTGCTACCACACCCAGCTGAGAGTCTTAGTTTCTAACAAGCTTCCCAGTGATGCTAATGCACCGCTTCCTAGGGAGCACACTTCTGAGATGAGGCTCTAGCAGACCAATTTAAGTCAAAGAGAACAAGCCCCGAATCGGGGAGCTGGAAAAGCCCTTTCTGGGGTCCAGCACCCTGAAAGGGCAATCCTAGGGTCAGTGATCCCTCTAACTACAGAAGCCCCAAGGACAGTGACTTAGGGCTTAGGTGGGCAACTAACAGCAGCTGAACTATGGGAATCTCCCAATAAAAGTAGGGGATGCCAGACTGCAGTGGGCAAGCCTACAGTCCAAGCTACTCCAGAGATTGAGGCAAGCTGATCGCAAGGTGGGAGGCCAGCCTGAGAAACATAACAAGACTCCATCATGGGAAGTTAGCGGGGGAGACTTTCCCGCCCCCCCCCCCCCCGGAGGAAATGAGAAGGGTGGAGTCAAGATGTACGAGTTAGGTACCTTAAACAACAACCCAGGCACTCAGAACTTGCTCAGAGGACCAAATCCCAGGAGCTGTCCGTCTGCACACGTGTCTAAATGGAATCATCTCTGCCCCACCCACTCCTGCACACAGCCTCTGCCCTGTCTTCCTCCAGGGGAGAGGTAACTGCTAACAGGGAGCCTCCGGTGACTCAGGCGTCCAGAAGCCGAATCTGTGCCCTGCAGCTGCAGTCACAGGACCCTGTTCTCGCCTTCCGTTGAGCCCTCCAGTCCCAGCCTGTCCTCGCTCACTCCAGGGCCCCTCTGTCCTCCCTGAGTCCCTGTCTAGGCTCATCTTCAGGAGTGTCCCTAACTCCCAACCCTCCCAGGTACAACCCTGAGCCTTAACGTTCCCACAACATCAGTGTAGCCCCGCTTTAAAAGATGTGCCACTATCACCGTTTTCCCGGGGGTACCTCGGGTAGCCCCCTGGGATGCTGAGGTCCTACAAACGTCCCTTTGTGTCCAGTGCGGGACACACAGGAAGTGCTCAGAAGCAGCTGCGCGGGGGTCAGGGGCTCGCAGGGCCCGGCAGACGCAGCCAACGGGACCCTCACCTTGTAGACTTTGCCGAAGGCGCCATCGCCCAGCTCGCCCACAATCTCCCACACGTCGTTGGGGTCCAGGTCCCGGCGGACGTGCTCATATTCCCGGGACTTTCTCTTCTCGAAGTTGGACAAGCGCAAGATGCGGCGGAAATTGGCGAAAGCCATGCTAGGTCCGGAGCGCGGCGGGAGGACTTGCGGCTTCGCAGAGCCGCCCTCCCCGCAGCGCAGCGCTGGCCAAGTGAGCCGGTCGCTGCCGGGAGCTGCCGGAACCGCGGCCCGCCCGCCCCGCCCGCCCCGCCCCGCCCCCTCCTGGACCCGCCCGCTGGACGCCCGGCACCCGCGCGCGCGCCCGTCCCTGCCGGCTCCACCTGCTCCGCGGCGCCCCGAGACCCCTCAATTGGCTGCGGGAGCTCCCGGCTCCGCCCGCGCCGCGGGGCACTCTGGAGACTGTAGTCCGCCGGATGGCCGGCCCGAGGGCCCTTGGCGCCTCCCGGAACCCCAAACCTTCGGGGTTCGGCTATCGCCCTGCGATCGTCGTCGATGCCAAGCTGGTGCATCAGCGCGTCGACTGTGCCTACAGCGGCCTGGCTCGCCCTTTTCCCGTGCTGGATGCCTGCGCCCCTCGCCCCGGGGTTCACGCTGGTCCTCGGTGCTGCTCGCCCCAGGGTTCACGCGAGTCCCAGACTGCCTTCACCCCGCTTCCTACGTGGACCTCAAGCGCGGTGCTGCCTCCAAGCGTGCAGAAGGCAGAGTCCCGTGGCCGCGTGTCCCCCAATCCGGGCCTTTCCCCGCCCCCGCCAGCCACAGAGGACCAGGACTCAGAACAAGAAAAACAGAGTTCCTTTAGGACCTATTAGGCTTCGTGGTAGGTTAGCAGATATAGTCCTTATTAAGTAAAACTTTCTAGTACTTTTACCAATTAAAAAAAAAAAAAAGCCCGATTAGACGTAAAACCAGAGACATCCCTGGTACATTTCTTCTCCATCCTGGCGGCGGGACCCTCGTCGCTCCACCTTAGCTGCTGGGGTCCTGCAGATTGCAAGGCGCCTTTCCTTGGTATCAGGACGTGGGTTCTAGCGCACAGTGCTGCGGGCTGAGCAGCTGGAGGGCCTGTGATGGTAACCCTCCCCCATGAACAAGTGAGTCTCACACTCGGGCACCCTAACGTCGAGAAAGTTGCTGCTCCCCTTCCTCGGGACTCTGTTCGAAAATATTCCTGGAGCCGCGCGCAAGCGCCAAGTGCGGTTTCCCATTAGGAAAGGCGGCTGGAGAGTGAATATGGTGCTCTGGGGATTCGTGCGTGCAAAAGGCGCCCCCGAGTAAAGGCTGACCCAGTTTCGATTGTTCCCGCCACTGAATGAGTGTGGGGAAATTTTATTATTGAAAGAAGGAAATGTCACGCAAAATTGCTCTCGTTGAGTCAGCCTGTGAACGAACCGAGGGGTAGGTCTGTCACTGGGTTCGGTGGGACCCGCTGCAGTCTGTGCAGCTATACCGGGTAGGGTCGCGAGAGCTCCAGAAGAAAACACAGTGAGAATAAAAATAGAAAGGTCCTCTCCAAAATGTCATGCTCCGTGAAGGAAGCCAGACCGCAGGAGGTATGACTGCATTTATATGACCGGTCCAGAAAAGGCAAAGCTGTGGAGAGCCGGTTAAGGGTTGGCTTCCAGACGTGGGGACTGGCTGGAATGAACGATGCGGAATCTCACTGGGGTGATGAAAATGCCCGGAAAAGGAACTACAATGACAGTTCTACAACTCGGGAAACTCGTCCCAAATCACTAGAGCGTCTTTTCTTTTCGTAAGGTGTTGGGGGGGGGAGGGATATGTAAATTATATATGAAAAACGCAGCAATAAAGGGAGGCTCAACAAAGCCAAAGGTATTTAGAGACTTACGTTAGATCGGGTTTCCGTTCTTCTTCTGTCTCTGGCTTCAGGGTCTCACAGTGGCCTAGAGATGCATGAAGATAGCCAGAGGGTTGTGCCCCTCCCCCACCCTGCTTTCTGGAAGAACTTAAAATGGGAATTATCGATTCCTTGTAAGTACGATAAATAGTGCTTTTGATGTGTATATCTCAATTAATAGTCTGAGTTTGCATAGTTTTGTTGTCTGTTTGTTTGTTTCAGGACAGGATTTCTCTGTGTAACAGCTCTGGCTGTCCTGGAATTCACTTTGTAGACCAGTCTGGCCTCGAACTCAGAGTCTGCCTCCAAAGTGCTGGGATTGAAGGTGTGTGCCGCCACTGCCCAGGAGAGTTTGCATAGTTTTATTAGAAGCTTTTCAACTCCTTTGAATTGCTGGTCCATGTCCTTTGCCATTTTTGTTGTTGCTGGGTTTGGGAGGGGGGTGATTTGTTTTGTTTTGTTTGAGACAGGGTCTTTCTATGCAGTCCTAGCTGTCCTGTAATTTGCTCTGTAGACCAGGCTGGCCTCAAACTCGCAGAGATCCTCCTGCCTCTGCCTCCTGAGTGCTGGGATTAAAGGCATGCACTACCACCCATACCCTACTCTGTGCACATTAAAAAAGTCAGATTTCCTGTCTGTTTTGATTCTAGGAATTTTGTTTTTTATTTATTTGTGTATGCATTCATGGTGTGTGTGTGTGTGCATGCATGCTTATATGTGAGTGTGCAAGAAGAACATGCATATATATGTGGAGGTCAGAGGACACTTTTAAGAGTTGGCTCTCTCCTCCCACCATGTGGGTCCTGAGGAGACCCCCAGGCCCTACTGAGCCATTTCACTTGACCCGACTTTTTTTTTTTTTGAGACACCTCCCCCCTGCTCTGGACCTGAATATTTAAAGATACTATCTTGGTGGGTTTAGATATTGAAAATGTTTCCTCTCAACCTTTCTTTCATCCATATGTAAACTTTGTTCATAGTGTCTTCTGTTGAACAAGTATGAATAATACTGACATAATAAAATCTGCTTTTATCTGTGGGTATTTTCCCTGCTACTGAGGACTGAACCCTGGACCTTGTACATAGGAAACATGCTCTGTGACAGAACTACACCCCCAAGTGGGTCATATTTTTTAACTTGAAAAAAAAAATCAACTTAAGGGACTCAGTGGTTAAGATCAGCAGTTGCCCTTCTAGAGGAAGAGTCCATTCCTAGCACCCACAGGGCATTGCAGGCATCTGTTGCTCCAGTTCCATGTGATGACCCCCTCTTCTGGCCTTCCCAGGCACAGCATGCAGGTGGTGCAGACATACATGCAGACAAAACACCAATAAACATTTAAAAAAAAAATTTAAGCCTGGCGGTGGTGGCACACGCTTTTAATCCCAGCACTCAGGAGGCAGAGCCAGGCAGATCTCTGTGAGTTCGAGGCCAGCCTGGTCTACAGAGCGAGATCCAGAACAGGCACCAAAACTGCACAAAGAAACCCTGTCTCAAAAAAAAAAAAAAAAAAAAAAAAATTTAGGCCAAGCATGGTCGTGCACACTCTGAATCCCAGCACTAGGGAGGCAGAGGCAGGTGGATCTCTGAGTTCAAGGCCAGCCTGGTCTACAGAGCGAGTTCCAGACCAGCCACGGCTACACAGAGAAACCCCGTCTTAAAGACCAACAATCAAGTTTATTGATGATTAATCTACATTAAATAGAAATGCACCCCTTGCTGGGCAGTGGTGGGGCACACCTTTAATCCCAGCACTTGGGATCTCTGTGAATTTGAGGCCAGCCTGGTATACAAAGTGAGTTCCAGGACAGGCTCCAAAGCTACAACTGCCTACAAAGAAACCCTGTCTCGAAAAACCAAAAAAAAAAAGAGAGAGAGAGAGAGAGAAAGAAAAAGGGCAGGAGGGGGGAGAACAAGGGAATCCGTAGTTGATATGTAGAATTAAATCATATTGTAAAATAAAATAAAAAAAAGAAAGAGAGAAAGAAAGAAATTCACCCCTTAAGGCTCACTGTTCAGTGAGTTTTGTCAAGACAAGACTGTTACCACAGACAGGGTAGAGAACATCTATCTCCATTGCCTCTTCAGGCAATTCTCATTCCCACTCCTTTCAAACTTTTCCCCCAGTGCTGGAAATTAAACCCAGGCCCTTGGCATGCCAGGCCAGTGCTCAGTCAGAGCCACACACTGGCCTCTGTTAACGTCTTCTAACCCAGCCTGTTTCCGAGACTCACTGTGTTGAATGTATTCATTCATCTTCATTGCCGGGTAGTACTCTACTGTATGGATATACTGTCGTCATTAGCACATTCAACTGCTGAAGGACAGTTGGTGTTGGGGTCTATCCATCTGGTTATTATGAATAAAGCTGATGCAAACACATGGTGTCAGAGTCTATGCATGGAAATGATGGAGCTCAGGACATATGACCTCAAAATATGTCACTTTGTCAACCTTCATCCAATGGGTCCCTTCCCTGTCCTTGAAGGAAAGGATAGACTGAGAATCGACTCAACTGACCCCTTACAATCATTAGGGTATCCTTTCTGTCCTCCAGCCACACATCCCTACAACTGAGTCTCCATTCTTCACCAAGCCTAAACACCACACAAACACACCGATTTCTTTCTTTGGGTCTACATTTCCTTATGAACACTCCCATCTGCATACAACTTAACCAGCAGTCAAGATGGTGCTCTCCTGGAATTCCAGCATCCAGGAAGCAAAGCCTGAGCCACACAGTGAACTCCAGGCAGCCTGAGGCGCAGCAAGACCCTGTCTCAAAAAAACAAAAAAATAGTCCGGTCGTGGTGGCAGTGGGGCACACCTTTGATCCCAATACTCTGGGGGCAGAGGCAGGTGGATCTCTGAGTTCAAGGCCAGCCTACAGAGTGCCAGGGCTACACAGAGTGACCTTGTCTCAAAACAAACACACTCAAAAAACAGTAAACAAGCTAGTAAACACGTGCTGTTCTGCTATTACTCTGCCTCTGATTTCACTAAATGTGTGGAAGTTTTTGTCACATCAGACAATTCTCTGCAAATACAAGTCATTTTAATTCTGACACTGGGAGTTAGCAAACACCCCAGAACGTAAGGGATCCCTCGCACAAGACTGTTCCCCACTTGTCACACTCCAACCATAAGTTCAGGGTGTCTTCTCTGGGTTTTTGATCAACTAGTCATAACATCAGAGGTTCCCATGATTTGTGAGGTTAGGTAGAACTGTGTGTATGCACACACATATATGTCCATCATATATACACGTATATCAATGCACAGATGGATGCACACAGACAGATAACCAAATATGAATGGAGTGTTGTGATCTGGAGGAGATGGGTCAGTGCCATGGCACACATATACACTCACACAATAACCAATACAATTTTAAAAACATAAATGGTAAGAAAAAGAAACATACAAGTTTGAAAACTGAAATGATTTATGAAACATGACAAATGATGCATAGATCTGGGGGTTCCCGATTGAAGTAGGTCTTCAGACTTCTAAGGGACCATTAGGGAAATTGAATGCTGACTTGGTATTTGAGGGTGTTAGATGACCACCCACAGGTGTGATAACATTGAAGACTCACGCTTTTTAGAATATATACTCAAATATTTGCACATTAGCTGTTTTGTTGGAGACTTGCTTCCAAATAACTCAGGAACCGTGATGGGGTGGAATGGAGGTGGATGAGCTGGGACTGGTCTGAACTTTTGACCTGAGTGACAAGTCACGAAGCTTGAGCCTGCTGATCTGTTCTGCTTTGGATAGGCCTGGAACTGTCCATCATGGAAGAGAGAAGTAAAACAGCAGAGACTGTGTTAGCCGGGCATTCTGCTTTGGCTTCTGGTAACTACACTTTGGTCTTTTAAAGATTCCTTCTTAGCCAGGTGGTGGTGGTGCATGCCTTTAATCCCAGCATTTGGGTGGCAGAGGCAGGCAGATCTCTGTGAGTTCAAGGTCAGCCTGGTCTACGTAGTGACCACCAGGTGGGCTAGGATGTTGATAATGAGACAATCTCTCTCTCCATATATATGTATATATATACACACACATATACATATATAGAAAGCAAGTAGCCTAAACATTTATACAGACATAAATTCCTTCCCTTTGGCTTTATATTAGTATACTTGTTCGAGGCTCTTTCAGTACTTCTGGGTGTGTTTCCATTTTCCTTCCTAATAAGCACGTCTTGTCTAGAGCGGCTCCAAGAGCTGCTTTGGTACTCGGCTCAGGTGGCTCCTCCTGGTCTAGAAGTAAGGCAGGAAACATTCCCACACAACAAAGCCAGAGAACTGTGAGAGGCCATTTCATTACCTCTCATTGTCCCCTCTAGGTCTGCCGGGTCATCTCAGGGACCCTGTCCAACATTCTAGTTCTGAGGCCGAATTCTCCATTCCGTGTCGGGTTGCCAGAACCTCCGGCTGAGAGCTGCTGAGATGAAATTGAAGCCAGGGTCTTTTCTGTGGTACCTTTACCTGGACAAAATCTACTGTTTGTTGTCTTTGAGAAATGTGAAGGCCTTGATGGAGTATTTTCACCTTCTGGACGCACACCGAAGGAACACCTTAAATGGTCAGTTCTTTCCCACAGAACCCTAAACTATCTCCTTACCATTTATTTCATCTCGTCAAGGAAGCCGGAGAGAAACTGCCAACAGAGCCGAGACTGATGGCGGTTCAGTGCAGAGGACAAAACCACCAGCTCTGGGGTCAGGCTGGGCTCTACCCACAATTCCTTGGTGATGTGATGAGCATGTCGTCTCCTCTTGGAGGCTCAATTTCTTCTTCTATCCTCTCATGTCTCTCCCACCCCTTGTCATCCCCCCTCCTCCCCACAGGGTCCTTTCCCACATTCGTGTTATTTTGTTTTGTTTTGGGACTCAAAACCAGGGTTTAACAAGGTTTAACCAGGGCTGTCTGTCTAACGGTGTTTGTGAGTTACCAAAAATGTCTATCAGCTCTGTCACCAAGAGTCCAGATGCTAAAAAAAAGGCCAGGTGAAACAGCCTGGGTAAGAACAGCCTCAGTATAAATAAGATTTTCAACCAATCCAACCCTCACTCTCACCTCACGGAGGAAAACATCACAGTGAAGAAAGAACCCTCATAAAGGATTTTTTTTTTTTTTAGACAGGTCTCACTATGTGTCCTTGCCTAGCTTGGCTCTCACAGAGATCCTTCTACCTCTGCCTCCTGAACGCTGAGGTTAATGCTGAGGTGTGCACTTGGATTCTTGTCTTAAGAAACAAATGAAGCCAGGCGGTGGTGGTGCACACCTTTAATCCCAGCACTTGGGAGGCAGAGGCCGGCAGATTCCTGTGAGTTCAAGGCCAGCCTGGTCCACAAAGTGAGTTCCAGGACAGGTTCCAAAGCTACACAGAGAAACTTTGTCTCAGAAACAAAACAAAACAAAACAAAACAAAAACAACAAAAAACAAACGAACAGTAATGAGGGAGGGGCTGCAGCGCAGTAGTAGACATATTTATCATGGACTCAGGCCCCGGCACCGAAAAGAATGAAACAAAACCAGCAGACTGAAGAAGCCTCCTTTTCCTCACAGTGCCATGCCTCACCTTCCTCTGTGCATACAGATTGGCATGAAATGTGATACCAGTCCTCCTCGGCCCAGATAAGACAGCTGCAGGGCACCAAGCTGTCTCTCAGAAAGCTAAGCCACACTGTCTCCCTGGGACGTTTGTGGAACAGAGTCTCATCTCCCTAGTAACCACATAATCCCCCAATGACACAATACTCTGGAGGTCCAGGCCTGCTATCTGATCACCAAGGGTAGGGACAGTAACCTGAAAGAGGACAGCACAGCTTTATGGTTTGCTTCCTGGGAGAACCTCAAGCCTTGGGGACTTGGGTGACCAGAGTCATCTTGCTGCAAAACAGCATTGATTCCATAGCTACCAGGTCCCTCAGGACACACCTCCTGGAGCACTCTGCCATCCCTGTGGGGGTGCAATGTGTTGCTCTGAGTGCTCACACCTGGTGGGGCACACAGAAGGATCCACCACATGGCTACCAGGCCAAAGCTGACATTGTGATCATAGGCTCATTGTGTCCTGGCTGCTTCCAGCTGGGATTCCAAATGACATTGACAAAGGGTTTTAGATACTCAGTGGAGCTCAGAAATAGTTTTTTTTTTTTTTCTTTAAAGCATTTTCAAAAATATTTCATGTGTATGTTTGGCTGCATGTTTATCTGTATACCAATTTTGTGCCTGGTACCTGTGGAGGCCAGAAAGGACACCTGATCCCCTGGAACTGGAGTTATAAAAAATTGTGAGCTACTATATGGATGCTGGGAATTGAACTTGGATCCTCTGGAAGAGCAGCCAGTGCTGTTAGCTGCTGAATCATCTCTCCAGTCCGTTTGTTTTCTGAGACAGCACCTGACTCTGTAGACCAAGCTGGGCTTGCACTGATAGTAATCCTTCTGCCTCAGCCTCACAAGTGCTGAGATTATTGGCATGAGCCACCACACCCAGGTCTGGAGATAGTTTAGGGAATCCAGAGGCAAAGGGGAAGCTGGTTAGGATGGCTGCAATTCTGAGTCCAGCGTGGTCTTCTACATACAGTTCCAGGCCAGCCATCAGTGGGATCCCATATCAACAGCAAAACAAAACAAAACCAACCAGCCAACCAACCAAACAAAAACAACAGAGGAGAACCACACATAAAATCAGACTTGAAAAATCTCATAGCTGGATTTCTTTCCTTTCCTTTCTTTTTTTTTTGTTTTTTGTTTTTTTGAGACAGGGTTTCTCTGTGTAACCTGGCTGTCCTGGAACTTGATTGGTAGACCAGGCTGGCCTTGAACTCAGAGATCTGACTGCCTTTGCCTCCCAAGTGCTGGGGTTAAATGTGAGTGCCACAACTGTCCTGCTCAATTTTCATTTAAAATTTCAATTTGCTTCTGGAACAACAGAAATAACAGAAATGCAACCACAGACACATTTTAATAGAGAAAACAATGGATGCAGGTGTGTGCTCCTGTGTCTGCCATCCATGGTACCAACAGACTATTTATTTACTTAATTTTTCAACTGGAAAGAGAAAAAGGCTTCTTTGACTTACACGACAGGTCACAACTCATCAGTGTGCTGCTCCCATCCTATCCCAGCTGTAATGGTTGGTATGTGGGATGACAAGTAGAAACCTTCCTGTTCATTAAGTTACAGCACTTTCCCTGGATGTGTCCGGGTTAATATGTGTTAACTCATGCACAAAAGATGTGGCTTCAGCTGGGCAGTGGTGGTGGCGCATGCCTTTAGTCCCAGCACTCGGGAGGCAGAGGCAGGCGGATGTCTGTGAGTTCGAGGCCAGCCTGGGTCTACAGAGCGAGATCCAGGATAGGTATCAAAAAAAAAAAAAAAAAAGATGTGGCTTCACAGTACTAAGTGCAGGGCTGCCACCAGGCTGACCCACATATGAGCCCCAACTCTGCCACTCAAAAGTGAGACCCACAGAGCAGCAGCAGCCATATCACACCAGAGCTGAGAGCAATGTGGAGTCTGCCCCACGTCACATTCCCTGAAGCAGGAACTGCGGTTTGACAAGATCCCTAAGCAACTGATGTACTGGCAATGAGGTGTGCTACCACTTCCCTGTCGGGTTCTCGGTTTGCTGGGATGAGGCATTCAAAAGTGCTTAACATAGGGAAGGCTCCCTCCCTCCACAGCCAGAAGCCTTAGTTCTGTGTAAGCATGAAAATTCTAGGGACTCCCTCAGAAAAGAGGAATGATTTTATTTTTATTTTTTTAATGCCGAATGCTGTTTATTGAAGGAGGGAAGAGGTCTTAAATACAGGCTTACAGCACAATGGGAGAACCCCAGAGGGCAGAAGTTCACTACAGATGTTTTACAATCTTGCATCTAAGCTGTTAACGCCCATTATGCAGGATACACAGACAAGGAACTTCCCTTAAGCATTCAGGACGGTGGAACCTGGCAGGGAATTAGCATAGGGAGGATATCAAGATCAAGGTCAGCAAGCAAGGCAACAGTTACCCAAAACAGGAGCCAGGGCCCTACAGGTCCCCTTTTTACTAAAAAATGAGCTTCTGACTTAGGTTGCGTGGGATGTCAGCAGGTTACCTTACCCATCATGGAGACGCCTGCCCAGGCCACACAGGCACTCTGTCTTAGGTTGGTGAGCGCCTCCCAGGCATTACCCGTCTCTGAATACTCATTATCATACAGGCTCAATCAGAGTTAACTGCTGCCAAAGATCTCAAAGTAGCACTGGGCTTGCAATCTGTGTGTTCAACACAGAAAAGACCAACAGAGGTCCTATCCCACCCATAGCCAATAGGCTAAAGGCAACTGAGCCATTCCCTTCCTTAAGGAGCCTTACTGCAAACTGGAGTCCTTGTAAGATGGTATCCCAAAAGCAAATGGAACTTGAGTTTATAAATTTATAATTTTCAAAGCCAATCAAGATGTATATAACTACTGAATTAAATGTATCATGCCCAATAGAATGAAAGATTAACTAACTGTGGTAGCTACTTTTGCTGCCAGGGTCTCCACTGTGCTAGCTGTAGTAAGCAATTATGAAATGGTAATCCCAGAAACAGTAGCAGTGGTGGCCGCCACTGCTATAACAGCAACAACGGCAGCAGCGATGTCAAATTTTCTTCTGGAGTGTGTGGACATCCACTGGCATGGATACAACTCCAGGAACACGAACCACCAAGGCCCATTTTTCTTGATCCCAGCACGACTTAGGCTAGCAGCTCTTCTGGAGAATCCAAAAGCATGGCTACAGTTCCTAGGCTTACGTTAATGCTTGTCAAAGCTGGCCATATTGGGCTCTCAATCCCCACTGGTATCAGAAGGGGAGAGTTTTTCATTAAGGCCCAATAGGTCTCTGTCATGTTGGGTTTCAGCAGCAGCCACAGGGCACACACAGCACTCAGGAATCCAAAGAGGAACCTCATTGTCCTGAGGAAAGACATAAACAGAACCTGGGCCCACACCAACACCAGATCGGGTCTCCTCCAAGTGCTAGTAGAAAGAGAGGAATGATTTTAAACTTCCCAATCTGATGAAAGGAATCATGGGAAAGGCTGAGGAAAACATTAGGATCTTTGAAAAAATATTTTTTAAAAGATTTATTATGTATACTGTGCAGAACACCAGAAGAGGGCACCAGATCTCATTACGGATGGTTGTGAGCCACCATGTGGTTGCTGGGAATTGAACTCAGGACCTCTGGAAGAGCAGCCACTGCTCTTAACCTCTGAGCCATCTCTCCAGCCCCCCAAAAATATTTAATGTGGGTATCTGTATGTGCTTGATGTGTGTGTACACATGTGTGCATGGGAAGGTCAAAGGGCAACCCTGGGGAGTTCATTCTCTCCTCATACTTTTACATAGGTTCTGGGGATCAAACGCAGGTCTCCAGGCTTGCAGGACAAGTGTCTTTCCTGGCAGAGCCATCTCTCCTACTCTTAACATCTCCCACTCTCCCACCCTTAACAAAGTAGAATGAAGCTCTCCTTCCTCGAACAAAGAGAACCTCATTCATCAGCAGCTTGTCTGTCGTTGGTGGTATGTCTGTAACTGGGGTCAGGAGCCAAGCACTGACCACCACCATGTTGTCTGGGCATGTATGTCAACTGGTCATGCAGCGTCCATCACTTGGCACATTGCTTCTCCACAGCAAGGGCAATTAAAGGCTTGAGGAATTGTGGAAGGTTCAGTGTGAAGCCAGAAACAAAATACTGTCATTCTTCTTCCCAGTACAGTAAGCTTCCAACACTTCTGCCTTTTTATGTGGCTCCTGATTGAGTATTTTGGGACAGCTCTAGAACAATCCATCTCGTCCTCTCTCCTCCAGATGTGCTGTTCTTTCATTTTCTCCACCACGTGACTAACATGAAAATCACACAGATCAAGATGATATTTGACATGCTGGACTGGACGGCTGTAGGAGAGATTGGTTTTGACCAGTTCTATGTGTTGGTTTGCATACTGCTGTCGCATCAGGTGAGTGCCAGGGTTGGCGGGGGGCAGAAGAGAGAGGGCTGGGCTGTGCCCCGTCTTGGTAAAGCTGGCACTGAAGTGAGAGCACAGTGGATCGCTTTTCTATCACTACAAATGGGTGGATAGAAAATAAAACGGGAACTTCATTGTTGGTTCCTGAATCAACCTGGACATTCTAGCACCTTCCCAGCTTCTCTCGGCAGCCGCCACTCATCTCCAGCCCTCCCACATTGCCTCTCCGTGTCAGGAAAATGTTGCCCCTGCCCACCTTTCTTGGGCTGCCTGTCCTCCAACTGGCTGATGATTTTCAAAGCACCACCATCCACCCCAAGCACCTCACTCACTCCTGCCCTGGTCCTTGGGTTCAGAGACTTTTCTGCTGAGGCCAAAAGGGAAGAGGTGTTATTCTCTGGGCCCCACCCTCACCATGAGACACTAGTTGTGCATTTGCTAGCTTCTGCTCCTTGAGGAAAGGGATCTTGTGCGAGTACCAAGGTCAAAGCTTCCCAAGATCATCAGTGCATGGTGGCAGAGAGGGCTGTTCATTAAGCAGAATTGTCATCACAGAAGGTTCCATTGAATGTGGGGCTCATGTGGGCCTTGTCCCTCTTCACACAGTCCTTTCCCCAAGTTTGGGAGTTTGCTCTTTGCTCTGAGCTCTCTAGGGAATGGCTGGTAACTATGTAATTTTTTTTTTTAAGGTTTACTTATTATGTATACAGTGTTCTGCCTACATGTATGCCTGCATGCCAGAAGAGGGCACCAAATCTCATTGTAGATGGTTGTGAGCCACTATGTGGTTGCTAGGAATTGAGCTCTTCCAGGACCTCTGGAAGAGCAGCTAGTGCTCTTAACCTCTGAGCCACCTCTCCAGCCTCCAACTATATAAATCTTGGTGTAACACCCTTACAACAGGGTAGCACCAACCTTCTCACACATTTCTCTCCAAACAGAACCATCTGGAAGATCAGTTTATGTACCGCCATTCCCGGCCGGTTTTTGACCTGCTCGACTTGGATGGGGAGTTGAAAATAGATGCATCCAATTTCGAAATGTACAGATTTCTCTTCAATATTAAAAAGCAGGAACTCCGAGACCTTTTCCATGACTTTGACATCACAGGTGACCGAGTAAGTGCAGATTTGTGAACTGTGGGGCAGAGGGTCATGTCCTGCACCAGTGCTGGTGATGGTGTGGAGGAGGCTGGCAACAGGCTGGGACTGGGAAAAGAACCGAGACAAAGAGGCCCTGGCGGAGAAAGGATTGGTTAAGTGCCACTTCAGGTGGTGCAGGCACACAATTATAGAGGTTTCGAGGAAGTAGACGAACATGGTGCTAACATGGTGGTCAGGGAAGCATTTATAGATTTGAGTAAGCAGAAAGGAAAGATTCTATGATAGAACCAAGTGAGAAAAATCCTGAAAAAAGGGGGGCGGTGGTGGCGCATGCCTTTAATCCCAGCACTCGGGAGGCAGAGGCAGGCCGATCTCTGTGAGTTCGAGGCCAGCCTGGGCTACCAAGCGAGTTCCAGGAAAGGTGCAAAGCTACACAGAGAAACCCTGCTTTGAAAAACCAAAAAAAAAAAAAAAAAAAAAAAAAAATCCTGAAAAAGTTCCGGGGTGATGGCAGCTTCTGCCTGTGTAAAGGGAAGCAGGTGACCTCAGTGGGAAGATGACATGGAAGCACGACAAGGTGACCCTGTTCCCACGATGGTCTGCAACAGGCTTCACTGTCCCTGGGTACCAGGCCTCCAGTCAGCCTGTAACTGTCCTAATTCATATGCCTCTAAGTTTCCATGACTCTAGAGTAAGACATGATTACCACCTTACTAAACTTTCTTTTTTCCTCCCTCCTCCCCTAATAAAAGCTGCTTAATTACAAGGAATTTAAGTTGTACACAATCTTCTGCACTGACAAATCCACAGACAGGAAGAAAAGGAGGAAAGAAAGAGAGGAAGAGAGAGCGAGAGAAAAGGGGAAAGATAAAGAGAGGTATCATCATCTAAAGAAGATATATTCGACTGGGATGAGCCAGAGGAGTCGGAGTATCCTTTGATACCAAAGTGAGCATGACAATTAAAATTAACATGGCCACAATGAAGCAGAGCACCAAAGTACATATCTTTATTTTGTGTATGTCTGTCTGTATTGTTCATTTATTTACTTATTTATTCATCGAGACAGGGTCTCACAGTGTAGCCCTGGCTGGCCTGGAACTGGCTATGTAGACCAGACTGGCCTCAAACTCAAGAGACCTGTCTCCTGAGTGCTAGGATTAAAGGCTTGCACCATTCATACCCAGTGTCTTTTAATCTTTTTGAAACAGGGGCTCATGTAACTCAGGCTCGCCTCAAATTTACTATACAGTTGAAGATGACCCTGGGCTCCTAATCCTCCTACCTCCCTCTCCCAAGTGCCGGGATTACAAGGTATGTGCTTCTGTGCCCAGTTATCAAAATGGGTTTCTATACCTGAGCTACACTGTCCCCAAGCGGCCATTCTGTTCATGTGGTCCAGTTTTGCTTCTGCCTTTTAGCAGGCCATGCTCACAGATACCTGATGACCTATGGAGCCCAGCAGTTGATGGAAGTGACCCTTTCCCACTCTTTGCCGATGGTCCAATGCTCTTGGGATTCTTTCTAGGCTAAGCCCAATTGGATGCCAGATTCTTGTGGGCCAGTGGTGACAAGGCAGGCTGACTTTTAAGGATATGGAGCTAGTCTTTTTTTCCTTTGAGACTAACTGTTGCCCAGGCTGAGCTCCAACATGTGGGATGGAATGATTCTCCTGCCTCAGGCTTGGGTTAACTGGGACTGCAGGAGTATGTCACTGTCCCAGCTCAGGCTGTGTATTCCTTAGAGTTCAATTATTCCAACATGTGAAGTGCTTAGAAAACAGAATAAAACTTACTTGGGCAAAATATTATCATATGCCCGTTTCATTTAAACTTTTCATGAACCAGGCAAGGCCGCACATACTTTAATTCCCAGCACTTGGGACACAGAGGCAGGAGGATCTCTGTGAATATGAAGTCAGTCTCATCTACATAGTGAGTTCCAGGACAGCCAGGGCTATGTAGAGACCATGTAGAGAGATCAAAACCTTGAGTGATTTAAAAATTCTTTGGCATGAGATTTGTGAGCAACGCAGCCTCCACCCCCTCACCCCCCGCCCCCGGGACTGTACCATCATTGTAGCAACTGTGACAGGGCCCCAGACCTTAGATGGAAGTAGCATTCAGACCATAAAACTCACCATGTAGACATCACCACCTGCCAAAATGAAAACAAAGAGCTAATCCATCAAAGTCCATAGTTCTGCAAAGTCTCTAAATGTACTAACCTTGCTTTGTGGCTTTTGCAATTCTGCTTCTGGCTGTTTTTGTTAACTGAAGTATGTCAACCCAGAGTACGGTTTTTGTGCTTAAGAGCTCTCCCTGAGAAAGGCTCGGGACTGCCCTGGGATGCAGAACACTCGGTCTAGTCACTGGCTGGCTAATAAAGACTTTCTATTGGCTTAAATCATGTCCGGGCAATCTTTATCACAAGCATGTGCTTGGTGCAAGTGAGTTAGTGATTTAAGACACAGAACTTAGGCCTTCAAACCTGTCAACTAGGTGGGGCTATTTTGTTTACAAAAGGGGAAACCGAGTCCCAGAGAGATTTAGAAACTTAATCAAACACGTCTCACAGGAAGTAGGACCAGGAAGCTGGTACTCACAGTCTGGGGTCCAAGCTGACTGGACTTTTGGCAGATTTTTTTCACTTACTTTTATTTTATTGGCTGTAGGTATGTCTGTGTGAGGGTGTTGGATCCTGGAGTTAGAGTTGTGAGCTGCCATGTGGTTGCTGGGAATTGAACCCAGGTCTCCTAGAAGAGCAGCCAGTGCTCTTAACCGCTGAGTCATCTCTCTAGCCCAGGCAGATTGTTTTTGTTTGTGTGTTTGGTGAGGTGGTTTTGTTGAGACAGGGTCCCTCTCTGTAGCCCAGGCTGACCTCCAACCTGTGATGTTCTTGTCTCGGCACCTATGTGCTAGATGCTGAGGTTCGGCATGCTCTACCAGGCCAGACGTCTCTTTAAATTCTAAGCTAACAAATTCAGTTGGCTCAGAAAGCCCTCGTTTAATGTTTATTACTGTATCTCTCACTCTAAGTTTCTGTGGAACACGGCTGAGATCATTTATGACATACACCCAAGACTTTGAGGGTCCCCAATATGACTGATATGATACTCAATACCATAAATCACCTGATTATGCTACCAATGAAGGGGCTGGTATCTGCACAAGACATCCCAAGACCAAGTTCTCAGCACAAAGATGTATCTGCCCCAGAGGGACAGAGACAGGGAGTAAGAGACAGGACAGGGAGAAGGGGACGGGGACACGGGAGAGGGAGCAGGGGCATTTGTCCCAGGGGACAAAGGACTGCCTCTGGATAAAGAGGAGACAGATGTGGCACACAGGAAAATGGCTGGTTTATAAAGGTACAGGGAGAAACTCGATGTTAGAATGAGGTGTTTAATTTTGATTGGGCACGTTAATTAGGTGAGCCCAAGTGGGCTTCTGATTGCTAGACTTTATTTAATACTTTGATAGTTGGACCTTGGTAGTCAGCTTCAGGAAGAAGTGACCAAATAAGGGAACAGACCTTTGGCTAGCTTTAGGAATGTAATCTAAGTGTTTTCAGCAAGGCAGAGAGAGGGAATGGGGGAAGGGCAAGGCCTGCTGGAGCCATGCTCAGGCTGGTGAGAATCCCTTCAACCAATGTACAAGAATACTGCTTACCTAAGATCGTTATCTGCCAAGTCAGACTGGGAATTATGAAACCTGTTTATTGTGAAACATCATTAACAAATGGGAGATTTGGCTAACAAGCTTTTGAGCATGATTAATGCAATTGGCTATAGATACTTCTTCCCATGGTGCAACACCACAGTGAGAATGGGACCAGCAAAACCAAACCTCAGGTAAAACTGGTCACTTCACTTCAATCTTTTTTTTTTTTTTTTTTTTTTTTTTAATGTGCATAGATGTTTTGCCATGGGTATTGGGTCCCCTGGAACTGGAGTTATAGACAGTTGTGACATGTGGGCACTGGAAATTGAACCCGGGTTCTCTGGAAGAGCAGTCAGTGCTCTTAACCACTGAGCCATCTCTGCAGCCCCTTCAATCCTTTCTATAGAGATAAAGGCACTGCACTGGGGGAATTGCAAGCATCTCTCATCACTCCCCATACCCTTCCAACATTAGGAGTCTGTGGTCACTACAGTGTTTGCACGGGGCAGACAGAACACTGCAGAGTGCAGGCAGGCACTCCAAAGGGCCTCACCATTGTACTTGTCTTTACAGGGCTTGGTGGCTTTGAGGCATCCTAGGTGGTCAGGCGGCGGCAGCGTTAGGGAGTAGGTGTGACTCTGGGAAGACATTCCAGAGGTCTCTGCTCCCAGAGACGGTCGTGAGCTCCTGGAGCAGAGGCAGTACTGAGTTCTTTCCTCAGAACAGAGGTGGGGGAAGAAAGCTGAAGAGAGCAGTAGGAGTTAAGCTGTCCTCTCACCCATGGGGGTCCGAGCACACTGTACAGTGATAATAGAACATGGGGTTTACTTTTAAACACTGTGTGTGCCATAGCACACACGTGGAGGTCAGAGGACAACTTGTAGTTGGTTCTGATCCTTCAACCATGTTATAGGGATCAAACTCACTCAGGTCCTCAGGCTTAGGTACAGGTGCCTTTACCTGCTGAGCTATCTTGACATCCCATCAGATCTTAAAACTTTTCAAAGCATCTTCATCACCTAGAGGTCCCTGTGGGTCAGCAGCACATGTCTGTGCAGCACTCATGGGCTGAGGCAGGAGGACTGGAAGGGCATCTTGGGCTTCATAGTGAGAGTCTTGGTGGTTCTAGAGGGTATCAAGAGTTTTAATTAATAAATGAGATTCTGTATAAAAATTAAAATTCAAACCAGTAAATTGATTCTGTGTTGGGACTAGGCATATAAGACACTAACCAATCCACGCTTGTTTTGCTTCAGGGCCTTTCTAGATTTATTTACTTCATTTCCTGTGCCTGGGTATTTTGCTTACATATATGTCTATGCTTGGGTGCCTGCTGCCCTCAGAGGTCAGAAAATGGCATTGAAACTGAAGTTATGGTGAGTTGTGAGCTGCCATGCTGGTGCTGGGCATCAAACCTGGGTCTTCTGCAAGAACAAATGTTTTTACTGCGAGTCATTTCTCCAGCTCCTGTCCCACTCTCCCCTCCAGTGACAGTTTAAAACATGAGCACATAGGGCTTGGTATGTGAATCAGCAGTAAGAGTATGACATATGTGAGATCCTAGGTTCCACCCTGCATGTGTCAATGCTTTCCAGTCTGCAGTTTTTATATTGGATTGCAAGTTCCTAGTTACATGAGTGTTCTGGGGCACGGGCAATGGGAAGGGCAGGTGCAGACTATGGGTGGAACACTGGCCTGGGCAAGGTTCCAGACCAGGCCCACCGGCAGATTCTTCCACACCACTGTCAGCTAGCAGGAACTGGGGGGGCACCAAGTTGAGCAAAGTGGTCATGTCTCCCCCAGCGCTTGGATCTCACATCTCCTTACCATCCTAGGCCTCAAGCCTCAGAGCAGGCCAGACCGAGTCACCCGTGTCCAACCTCTGACAGAGTCACCTAGGCTCTCGCCACAGAACTAGAAATGACAAGCTAACAGGCCACATCACAAGAGACCCCGACAGCAGTCACAGGATACTAGCTGTCTCCGAAGACTCTATCCGCTGGATTCCTTTTCTAAGTAAAATACATCACAGGATCCGACCAGCTGAGGGATGCTCATTTGCTAGGAGGGTTACCTTCCCCCCACCATGGAGAAAGATGGATGAAAATTACCGAACATCTTCAGGAAAAGAGGCCACTGTCTGCTCTAATCGAGAGGCTGGTATCCCACCAAATGGGGAAGGCCTTTCAAAGACACCCAGAGGTCATAAAAGGTGGACATATTTTGTTGTTGTTAAAGACAGGAACTCACTAGGTAGACCAAGGTGCCCTCCAGCTGAGTTTGTCTCTACCTCCCAGTCCAGCCACACCAGGTGAGACTCAGATTTTACTGCTCAGCAGCACACAAGCAGTACTGGCTGTGCCACCTTCCCCATCCGGGTCAACCCATTGAAGACCAAGACCACAGCGCTGCTAAGGCACGCCTCAGTGACCTGCAGCATGTGGTGGAGCAGGGCTTAAGTCTGGTGGTCAGGATCTCACTACAGGTTTGAGAGAGGAAGAAATCTCCCACTTCCCCAGAGCAAGAGCTGGGCGGTGGTTGCGTACGCCTTTAATCCCAGCACTCAGGAGGCAGAGGCAAACAGATCTCTGTGAGTTTGAGGCCAGCCTGGTCTACAGAGTGAGTTCCAGGATAACCAGGGCTACACAGAAGAATCCTCACAAAAAAACAAAACAAAACAATAAACAAATAAAAAATAAAATAACAACACAGAAACTCAGAATAAAGGCAAAGACAAAGAGAAAAGTTGAAATTTTTTTTTTAAAAAAAGCACAAAACCCCTACATACTAAAATTATACACATCAAGTATTGATCCAATCTTACATCAATCTATTGACAATTACCAGCACCATGTTTTTTTCTCACCTAGGTTAAACACTCCTGGAGGATCGTTATTCAAAGTATATGTTCCTTTAAAATAAAAAATTGGTTTTTTGTTTGTTTGGTTTTTCGAGACAGGGTTTCTCTCTCTGTGTAGTTCTGGTGCCTGTCCTGGATCAGGCTGGCCTTGAACTCACAAAGATCCACCTGGCTCTGCCTCCCGACTGCTGGGACTAAAGGCGTGTGCCACCACTGCCGCCCGGCTAAAATAAAAAACTCTTAAGAGAAGTCAACCCTCAAGAAACAAACAAGACCCTTTACCAAACATAGATTATTGGTGACACCATCAAATTTCCTTTAGAAAAATAATAAGCTTAAACACTCTTTTCCAGTTGATGGACTGGAGATATTGTTGCTCAATGTGGCAAATGAATCAGCCCTCTAGATGGTAGGCCGAAGCACTGAGATGCCCTGGAGCCTCCACACAGGAATGTGAGCACCTTCCTCGTTGCTAAAGCTGTGTGCTTCACTTGAATTTAGACTCAAATCACCATTAAGTCTAAATTAGGTGTAGTCACAAACTTTAAAATGATGAACAGAATTAGGGAAGTGGTTAAAAGTTCTCAGGAACATAAGTTACAATTACAGATATATTTAAACAGGCTATAGGAAATTTAAAGTCACTTTAAACATTACATTTTAAACTACTTAGCAGTTTCATTTTGCCACCATAATTATGGGGTTTTATATCCAAATAGGTGTTGAAGGTGTTGAAGGTTTGGTATTTCCATACCGAGAAGAGTATAGAGCCCTCTTTCATCTGCTGTTCACAGATCACAGACTCTCAAGATACTGTGTGTCAGATTAGCCCCCTTCTCATGTAATCAATTTATTTTGGAGACAGGGTCTCGCTATGCAGCTCCAGCTGGCCTAGAACGAGCTTTGTATTCCAGACTGGTCTCAAATTCTGAGATCTGCCTACTTCTGCTCCCAAGGCCTGGGATTCAATGCACGCACCACCATGCCTGGCAGAATCAGCTTTTAAGAGGCTCCAAATTAAATACAACCCTTGGCAGCTTTTTCCGGCCTTCTCCAGAGGAGGTAAGGCTGGCCTCACTGTGTTCCAGTCCCTCAACCTCATGTGCAGATGGTGGTGGATTCATCTCTCTGTGGGAAGGTCTAGGAGGAATACTGCCACCCACAATGACTAAAGTCAGAGTGAAGTGAAACGCACTCAGGTCTAGAGCCAGGGGCCACCATTTCTTCTTCCTCACCAGCACTGTTTAAGTGACACCAGTAAACCTTCACACTTTACATTTTTGAGTTGGAGTTTTCTCCAAGGCTGAGAATAGGCACAGTTTTTCCAGGAACAGGCAGAGAAGGTTAAACTTACATCCCCTGCAAGGTGGGGAAGAGAGGATTGCTTTGTATTCTGAGTGGCAGCAGCTGTACTCCATTTCCATGATGCCTGGCCCAGAAATATATAGATGGGGTCAGTCAGCTCCAGAAACGGCCACAGAGAGCAGCGGGACTAGCGAAGGCATTACATAGTAGCTAGCCGTCTGGGTACCACAGACATTTTAAAACTACTATGCAGCAAGACAACTTCTCAACTGAGAACGAGGATTCTGACTACTTACTATATTACTGTCTAGTGTTCCAGAGGGTGCCTGCTGCCAGTGTGCTGGACGGCAGCAGAATTGAGTGAATGTGAATTAGGAGCACGACATGGGGGAGGGGGGAACACTGACAACTCCCAGTCTCCACTGCTTCCTGGTGGAGTAGGAATACAAACCCAGAGAAAAACAAACCCTCTTTAGGTTCCACTAACCAAAAAAAAAAAAAAAAAAGTTTTGTAACTGTTATGATGGTTCTGGAAATAGAATTTGACATATACATTTTAAAAATTCTATATCCAAAAGGTGCTTGGTGCTGTTCTTGATGGGTCTGGTGTCTGTTTACACTCCAAATCATTTAAATACAGCCATTACATAGTCGATAAATGTTTTAAAATAAATGGTTATCTATTTCTTAACTGCCTCTCAAATTAGAAATTGTAATTAAGAGTCCCAGAGGCTGGCTCTGTGTGTTTTATTATTTTTGTTGGTCTCCATCACAGATGGAATTTTTCACTGGTAATTCCTCAGAACTAAATCCATTCATAGGGAATTCCGAGCAGTGAAAAGAAATTTCACGTCATAGAGTAGGAAATGGTAATAAAAAGGAGCAAAGGGATCTGAGAAGCAGGCAAGCCCAGCTCAGTTTTCCACTGGTGTTGGGTTTTGCACAGGCTGGCTCACAATAACCTGCACCACATAGTCCTTTGGGATCTTCAGCTCCTCCAGCTTCATCTTGTCAGTGAGAGGCCTGCCAGAGAAGAACCACCGCTGGCCGCCTGGCTCCACCCCCTCTGCAGCGTGCAAGCGCCTCTTCATGTGGAACACCGTGTCTGTGCTGCGCACCACAAGCTTGAGGTCTTTGCCTGTGGAGAGGCGCAGACGGAGCTGAGATTCATGTCCAGAATTGGGAGGTGGCTCAGGGATGTCCAGAGTCTCGATGTCACTCTTTTCCTCTATCATGTTGATTGGTGGCGCCAAGCAGTAGACTGGCAGCTGGTATCGGTTCCCCAGCTCATCGTAGCACTCTGTCAGTGCACCTGCAGAGAAGGGCAGTAAGAGCAGGTTCAATGAGCATGCTTCTGTTCACAGTGCACTCTTATCTCAAACTGCAACAGGCAGGTACACCAGAGAATCAGAGGAGGAAGTGGATACTTCCTCAGGGCAAACATCAGAGGAAAACTGCATCAGGTGTAGCTATACATGTATTGACATTAAAAGGATAATAAGAGTACTAAGAACAACCCTAGGCCTACAGATTTGATCTACTAGATGAAAAAGACCAATTCTCTGAAACACATTATGTACCGAAGCTTAAGAACAGAGAGATAATCCAAACAGGGCTTAGCTATAGAAACTGAATCAATAACTAATAACCTTTTAAAACAGAAAGCACCAACTCCAGATGGGTTCAATGACAAAATTTACTGAACATTTAAGAAATTATAACAACCTTCTATTTTTACAAGACTGAAGAGAAACTTCCTAATGCATTCTATGAAGCAAACATTACCTTAATGCTAAAGAAAGAAAGAAAAAAAATTAGGCAAATCAAATATAACACTTTAGAAAAATAATTATACCACACCAAGGCAGAATTTATTCTAGGTATTCAAAACTGGTTCCATCTTCAGATATTAACTAATCTACAGTATCAGGGTAAACAAGAAAAAGCATATAATCATATCAGATGAGGGAAAACCATTTGGCAAAACCTAGTACTTCTTCCTGATAAAAACTCTCAGTAATTCTACTAGAGGGATGATTCCCTAGCTTCATAAAGAATAGTTAAAAAGTAAAAAAACAAACCCTACACCACTAAACTTAAAGGTAACACATTTGAAATTTCCTATTCAGATCAGGAGTCAGCCATACATAAAGAAATATCTACAGCCTGGGAAGGAAAGAAGAGAAATGTTTTTACTTGTAGCTAATACAACTATGCAGAAAATTTGAAGAATCAAGAAAATAATCTTGGATCCAATGAGCATTCACATTAAGATTAACGCATAAAACCCAACTGTTCCATATGTACAGCCAACAGGTGGTATCTGAAATTACAAAACCATGTACATTAGCATACCCAGAGGGGTACATGTAGATCTAAACTTAACAAATGTGTAAGACCTACAAGAAAATGACAAAATGTTAAAACAAAGAAGAGCTAAACTGAGACAGTCTATGCATTGTGAAGATGATATTGTTGGAATGTCAGTCATTTCTTCCTTAATTTACAATTTTAATGCAACTCCAATCAAAATCCCAGTGAGTTTTTTGTAGATACTGGATGAACTTCTCTGAACTGTACATAAGGTAAAAAATTAATAAGGACTGGTTTATGGTAATCATATAGTAACCAAGATGGCATGGATTTGAACAGGGTAGCTCGTACTTGTAATCCCATCTCTTGGAAGGGTGAAGCAGGAAGACTGCCATAATTTAAGGCTAGCCTATACATACAAAGTCCAGGTTATCTCAAAAAAAACCTAAAAAAAACCAACACTCAAACATAAACATGATGAATGAAACAGTTAAAAGTCCAGAAATAAGACTCACATAAACAGTATCAACTGATCTGTGTTAAAGAAACAAAAGGAACAGAGGATAGAAAAGACAGGCTTTCCAACAAAAGGTGATGGGTTAATGAGCCATCCAAAAATTAATTTCAATATAGAACTTACCCTTGTCACAAAAATTAACTCAAAATATACCACAGGTAGACAAGATGGCTCAGCAACTAAAGATTCTTGCCACCACGCCTGACAGCCTGAGTCCAACCCCTAGAACCCACATGGTGGAAAGAGAAAACTGATCCTCTAAGTTGTCCTGTGACAGTCTCATGCATGCCCTGCACCCATGTGCCCACCCTACTACCACCAAAAAATGTATACAGACTTAAATAAAAAACACAAAATTACAAACTCTTAGAAGGCAAAAGAAGAAAATCTAAACACTGTTGCCTTGGCAACGACAGGTGAGCTATGTCATCAAATGTACAATTATTAGAATTAGAAAATTTAGGCTTTGCTAAAGACACTGTCAGGAGAATAAAGACACAAACTGCAAGAAAAATTTCAAGACATATCTAACAAAGACTGTTGTACAAATACACACAGAACTCTCAACAGGCAGTGGTGGCACATACCTTTAAACCTAGCTTTTGGGAAGCAGAGGCAGGTGGATCTACCAGTTCAAGGCCAGCTTGATTCATGTATGAGGTTCCAGAATGGCTAGGGCTACACAGAGAAACCCTGTCTCAGGGGAAAAAACAACAAATACAAACAAAACCAGGAGCTCAAATGCCTTAGTAAGACTCTCACAAAGAAGACAAGCAGATGAGAAGATGTGCTACACCACAGGCCATACTACAATGGCTCAAGTCCAGAATAAAAACAATACTGAGGCTGGGGAGACTGAAAAAGCAGAAAGTGACAGCTACCCACTAAGTAATCCCCAATCTGCAGTAACCCCGATCAGCAGTAAGCCCCGATCTGCAGTAACTCCCGATCTGCAGTAATCCCCAATCTGCAGTAACCCCCGATCAGCAGT